ACAGACGCTGAAGTCGGTCTGCGCCTGCGTGCCACCATTACGCAGTTGTCGAGGTGAGGTTCAAAAAATGCAAAGATGGGGAAGTGTAAATTTAACGACAAGTGGATGGAAGAGGATGCATTTAGGAGGTGGTTGGCGCCGGCTGAAAATAATAATGAGGCAATGTGTAAATTCTGCAAAAAGACCTTTTCGTTAGGGACCATGGGGCTCAAAGCCGTCGAGTCGCACATGAGAGGAGGAAAGCACCAGCGGTACGTTGCAGCAGCTAGCCATAGCGGGTCCAGGTTAATCCCTGCATTGTTTGCAGCTCCACCTAACAATGTTACTAGTTCAGACGCTAAGTTTCATTTCACAGCCAGACACCCAAAAGGCAGAGATACTGTGGGTTCTCTATACTGTGACGAGGCACAATTAATTTAAATCTAACGAGGACATACGTGACATCTTTGCTGCCATGTTCCCCGATTCGCAGCTTGCAAAGTCATTCAGCTGTGGTGAAAATAAAACGGCATATGTCGCCAAATATGGCATCGCTTCATTTATCAAGAAGAAGCTATCGTGCAGCGTTAGTGAGAAGCCATATGTCGTCATGTTTGATGAAAGTTTGAATAAAACGACAAAGAACAAACAAATGGACCTTCATTTGCGATTCTGGACTACTGATGATGAGACTGGCACACACTACGTCATCTCCCGCTACTATGGATCGGTATTCATGGGTCACTCCAGAGCCGAGGACATGTTGGGTCATTTCAATGTAAGTAACGTTACGATTGTGTTTGAAATCACATATTATTATTCATACTAATTGTGGTGTAATGTTAGTGCGGTTTAAAGCTCATATGCTAGCGGTGTAACTAAACACCAACACTCCCACGGTGTTCACTTCGGGCATAGGATTGGTTATGTGCTCCAGTCAGGTCACAGGTCTATGGTCACTTTGACAATCTAACGTAACAACACAATAGCTCAGAGTTTAAGATGTATAACTGTTGGTAGATATGGTTCATAGTAAATATGCCGAATTGTGATTTTATGTGCAAATGTAGCTGCCAATGTAGACTGTCACACTATTAGCACTGCTAATAGCGACACTAAACATTCTATGATTACGTTAATGTACTGTGAATGGAGATGCAGAAACAAGCTATGTTTGTATACATATTAGATATGTTGTATTTTACCATAAAACACATGATTTTAACCAGTTAGTAAACCTATAGAAAATAATTAATTTAATTAGCAAAATTTTAAATTTACCATTACATTTATAGGCCACGCACATAGAAAGACCACTGTGACCATTTACTGACTTGAAAAGAGCACATTAACCAGTACTACTGTTACAATCTGCATAAAGTTTTTTCAATGTAAAAGTTCACATTTTTAATGTATGAAGGAATCCTGTATCATAACTAATGTCTGTTGTTTGTAATAAAACAAATCTGAATTGAACTCACTCATGCAGTATACCCATATACCAATTATATAATGATTAACGTTAATTATCGCCTGTTTTTGTGTATTGTCACGGTGCAAGTGCAACACAGGTGGAAATGATAATGACAGGACGAGGAACAGGTGGCTGATTGGGGAGTGAGTCCGGGAGAGGAACAAAAGGATCCGGGGAAGTGTGGTGCAGATGACGGGACACAACAGGTGAAGACGACAGACTGTGACATCACTCCCCCCTCCCGGTAGGCGTGACCTCACGCCGTAACATCAGCGGGGAGGGGGGGTGGGCGCCCTGGAGGCTGTGGAGGACGTGGTCAGGAGCAGGAAGCCCCCCAGGGCGGAGCAGGATGAGGGCGTGGCCAGGGCGGAGCAGGCTGAGGGCAAGACCAGGGTGGCGCAGGCTGAGGGCGAGACCAGGGCGGAGCAGGATGAGGGCGAGACCAGGGCGGAGCAGCTGGAGGGAGGACCCCTGGTGGAGCCGATGGTAGTGGGGCTGACAACACCAGGGGGCCGACTGACAGGGGCGGAGCGGATGGGAGAGGAGACCAGGGTGCAGCTGAGGGACAGACGACAATGGGTGCTGAGGAGGAACCGAGGGAACATGGGGACACCGCAGGCTCTGGTGACTGAAGTGCTGACAGGGGTACAGAGGGACACGGTGAGGACAGAGGGAGAGAGGGCCGATGGGTGACTGGAGGGAGTGAAGAATCCAACTGAAGCGGGGGGGTGAAATGACGGGGCGAAGCAAACAAATGGAAGTCCAGAGGTGAAGGACGGGTGATGAGGGACCAAAGGGAATCCAGAGGTACGAGGGAGCCTGGACGAGCTGGTGGACTGAGGGATTATGGAGGAGCTGAGGGAGGTAGCAGCCACGGGGGAGCCGATGGGACCGGGGGCCGAGGAAGTGTCTCTGAGGAGGAGGTGTGAGGCGAAGGCCGGGGATCCAAGGACCAGGCTGGGTCAGGGGAGCTGAAGGGCAGGAGAGCAGAGCGAGGACAGATGAGAGGAGGCGGGAGAGGGAGGCTGGGTGGGATCCTGGTCTCTGGCGCCGGCTGGACGGTCTCTGGCGCTGGCTGGACGGTCTCTGGCGCTGGCTGGACGGTCTCAGGCGCTGGCTGGACGGTCTCAGGCGCTGGCTGGACGGTCTCTGGCGCCGGCTGGACGGTCTCTGGCGCCGTATTAAGATCACGACGTCCATGTTGTCTGGAGGGCTGGACGGAACCAGCGGTGAAGAGCATACAGTCTCTGGAGAGCTGGACGGAACCAGCAGTGAAGCGCATTCTGGCTCAAAAGGACGGACGGTGAGCGCGGGCTCGGCAGGGCTGACGGTGAGCGCGGGCTCGACAGGGCTGACGGTGAGCGCGGGCTCGGCAGGGCTGACGGTGAGCGCAGACTTCCGGGGAACGAGACGTAACCGGGGTCGCAGGACCGGGTAGGGGATCCCCCGGAAGATCACGGCGTCCATGTTGCTTTTGGGTCGGTCAATCTGTCACGGTGCGGGTGCAACACAGGTGGAAATGATAATGACAGGACGAGGAACAGGTGGCTGATTGGGGAGTGAGTCCGGGAGAGGAACAAAAGGATCCGGGGAAGTGTGGTGCAGATGACGGGACACAACAGGTGAAGACGACAGACTGTGACATGTATGTTTGCATTTTATTGTTTAGCTGTATATTTGTGTCCGGGTTTTGATGGATGTTCTTGATCTCTTTCTATTTTCTTTTTTTCTTTTTTTACAAATCATGTGCAGGAAGGTACAAAGGAGCTGAATCTGAACAACATGCTCTCACTATCAATGGACGGGCCTGCTGTAAATTGGAAGTTTGTTGAACTCTTACAAGAAGAACACAGAGAGCAGTGTGGTGGAGCCCAACTACAAATCATTGGGAGTTGTGGCCTTCACACGATGCACAACTCGTTCAAGAACGGCTTCGCAGTGTGGCAAGTTGAGAAAGTCCTGAAAGCCCTGCACTACCTGTTTCATTGTGCACCTGCAAGGAGAGAGGACTTTGTGTTAGTGACAAAGTGTGATAGATTTCCTCTGCCATTTTGTGGACATCGATGGCTGGAAAACCTTCCAGCAGTGGAGCGAGCCATTGAAATTTGGCCATATGTTGTTACCTATGTGGATCAGGTAAAAAACCAAGAAGCTCCCCAATCCAAGGTCATCGTCATATGAAACCATCGCAGAAGCTCGGATGGATCCCTTCATCTTGGCAAAGTTACACTTCTTCATGAGTGTCTCAAGAAGTTTTCAGCCATTTCTCACCAAGTACCAGACAGATGCCCCGATGATTCCCTTCCTCGGCAGAGATTTGGAGGATCTAATCAGGGTAGGCCTAATGACTACTAAAAGTATATTAATGGGTTAATCATTCAAGCACCGTCATTTACAGAGGTTATGAACAATTAAACAAAGTACTGAGTTTTCAGCATGATGACGTTTGGAGAAAGTATTGTAAATACTGTAATACTTTTTCCAAACTAGTTTATAATTATTATGCTTGTGCTATTCTATTTTCAGAGCCTTCTCAGACGCTTCATAAAGCGAGACGTCCAGGTTGATGTTTCCCCAGTAAAGCTGGTCAAGCTTGATGTGACAGACCAAAAGCTTTGGGTCAGTCCAAAGCAAGTGGACATTGGCATGGGAGCCACAGCTGCCCTCAAGGTGGTAATTATCTTAAAATACTTTATCATTGTGCTTTATGAGCTGCAAAGTCGCTTGACTAGTGAACTGTTTATGTTGAGAAATTAAAGAGATCAGTTTAATTGTTTTGACATCAAGCAGTTGACCTATTAATTGTATCTGTCAAATGTTGTGTAGTGTAAGTTACACATAGGGAGAGTTTATTTGATATTTCAGGTGATGTGACTTTTGTGCTTTTGTCAGGGAATGTCAGGCAGTCAGAGTGGTGGAAGTGAGCGTGAGGTGTTACTGTTCATGCGAGACAGCCAGAGCGCCCTGTCAAAAATTTGTCAGAACATTTTATTGAAGTGCCCCCTGAAGTACCCCTCTGTTCGAAATATGATGTGCCTGGACCCCCAAAATATGCACAAAGAACCTGACATGTGCCTGCAAAAAATGAAGGCCCTCATCATGAAATTTGTGCAGGATAAGAAGCTGTCAGGAGGAGTCACAGCGGGTAACATCTGTAGACATATCAGAAATGTGAGCAATTAGCCTAGTGTTTATCAAAGGGAGTCTTATTTTAGGTATCATACTAGCCTATTATTTTGCAGTTTATTTTTTGTTTTTTGTTTTATTGGAAATACAGTCTAGTATGAGTTATAATAAATGTATGTAGGGCTAATTAATATAATATGTTCTTAGACATAATAATTGAAATATAGTTGAAAATATGAGATGCATTTTCCAGAGTATAGTGAAAATAAATTTGAATTTTAACTAGAAAGTATTACAGATGTGCTTGTCTTTATCTAAATGCAGGTGATAAGATTGCCCAACAATTTCAGAAGTTCCTCTTCAGCGAGGCCAGAGGAGAGGAATTCATGGCCTTCAGTGCATTTGATGGAAAATCACGAGTTGACAGCTTCCTGCATAAGGCCATGAATGGATTTGCAGAACTTTGGAGCTTTGTGGAAAAGCTGCTGCTTCTGTCCCATGGACAAGCTACTGTCGAGCGTGGGTTTTCTATAAACAAGGAGGTGGAGATGTGGAATATGAATGAAGACACTATAGTTTCACAGAGACTAATCTGCGACTATGTGAGGATTTGTGGTGGAGTGGTCAAAGTGCCTCTAACTAAAGAGCTGCTAAATGAGTGTGCAACTGCACGCAACCGGTACAGGATCTTCTTGGAAGATGAGAGGAAGAAAAAGGAAAAGACAAAACAGATGAACAAGAGAAAAGGGGTTGAAGATGAACTTGAAGAGCTACGCAAGAAAAGAAGAACAATCTCAATTGTGTGTGAATCACTAGAAAAGGATGCAGATGGCCTTGCAGAGAAGGCTGAGAATACAGCAGGGACCAAGATGGCAGAACTTCTCACTAAATCCAATTCCATGAGAAAAAGATTCAAGGAAAAGAGAAGAGAGTTGGTGGACCTAGACCATGAAATTGAGAAGAGAGCAGCAGAGCTGCGCCACATGTCTTGAGTCATGTAATAACATTTGTGTTTTCTAGATTATCTGTCAACTTTTTGGCTTCTGAAAGGCTGTTTTGAGGACATTGGGTTCCTACGTAGTTCCTTCATACAAGGCATTGTTTTCTAATCTAACTTCCGTCTGTTACGTTGGCTCTGTTATACATCACAAAATAAAATAAAAAGGTCTCAAAGAAAGAGTATTTTTACTTTTTTTATTTACACATTGCACATAATTGATGCCAAATGAAAAACTTTTAATTTCGATTGTAGGGGACAATAAATTGTGTAGCCTATTCCAAAGAAATTATGGAATATTTGGGTCTTAAATTATATTTGTTGAGGTCTTAAAAAGGTCTTAAAAAGCATTAAATTTTACTTTTAAAATGGTGCAAGAACCCTGTGATCATTATCTGAGAACTTTTGGGCATTTATTTCCTTTTGTGCCATTAAACTGATTTAATTGTTATGCAAACCAGATACAAAAGCCAATCAAATAGATTCATTGTGAATTAAAATAGGGTAATTTACTAAAAGGCTAATTGACCTTTTACCAGCTAACTGATTGCTGGTTAATTCAAATGTAATTATAAAACACTTGACAATGAAAAATGGGCGATTCATCTAAAGTGAACCAGAAAACCATCCTGCCCCATCGCCGATTTCATTGGTCAACTCGATCACTCAGTCAACAAGCTTCATGGATTGAGTCCAGAGCCATAATAAAGATTGGTTATTAGTATTTGTTTCAGCGTTGTGTAGTAATCACTCCCCTGCACAATCTAAGCAAGCATGTTACGGTGATTGAAAGGGACTATTGATTAAATGAAATTGTTCTGCCACTCTTTGTGTTGCATTAGAGACATCTAGTGGTGTAAATTTATATTGCATTTGAGTTCTCATATTTAGTCCCTCCTCTCTTGCCGTTGTTTTTGCCTGTGTGCTTCTGACTCTGATCTACTGAGAGGTCACGCAGCAGTTACTCTTTTCTCTTTGCCTTGGTAGTTTTTGAAGGTCTAAGTCTGTAAGTATTTCTGTAAAAAGTATATCTACTTTGTTATATTCTTTGTGTATTGTCCGTTTTAGCATAATATGTATGTTGTATTAATAGATGCTAATCGCGATTAGCATTTCTCCATAGACATCCATGTTAATGTTAGCTTAAATGCTAACTAGTCCTGCAAGTCTCTTTATAATGACTCATTTTTCTTATGGGATAGCTATATATGTTAGACTTGAGTTGCATATTCATGTATATGTATATATAGGCAGTTTGTAATGCCATGTTATTATGTTTTCACAGTTTTACAAAATTGGAAAGATCCTTACTAAAGGCCTCTCTGTACTCCGGTTTCCTGGGTCTTTATTTAATGGGTCTTATGTTAGCTATCTGCTACGCTAACCCATCAAAGCAAGAGCAGAATAGAAATGAAAATGATTTCCAGCATCTGTGGCTGTAGTACATCAAGATCCTCGCCACTACAGGTCAGGCATGCCCAAACAATCGACTGTTTCTGTCAAGTCAATCATTTTCTGTGTGTGTGCTTTATGGAATTTTTAACCTGTCTAGTTCCTTTTGTAAGTGAACATCCCAGTCTGACGGATCCCTGCCTCTATGAACATAAAACTTTTGTATGTGGTTGGGTGTTGATTCATGATTCAAAATCATTTTAAGATGCTGTAGTGACGTTTTTTTTTTCTTCCACGCAACAGACAAGGAGATTTTGAGGTATCTTTCACGCAGAAGTTCTTTATTGCGTCGCCGTAGCCTTTTCAAAGATAGTCTGACTTAAAAGAACTTTACACTATAATTTATACATTTCAAAGAGGGCGGGATTACATAAAGGTGGAGACACTGAAACAAAGCAAATGTAAATGATTCAGCTAGTTACCCGAGTTCATCAGCACACCAGTTATTGGGAGCCTTGAGATGCTCATCCAATCAGTCTGACTAGAGTGGTTAAACCTTTACCATTATCATAGAGACAAAAGCAGAGCTGTATCTTGAACTAAATGGCCAGGAAGTGCATAAAGACAAAAGCTAATGTGTGACACCTGGAATGCTTGGCTTAATCTTCTTGGCCTCAAAAATGGTAAACACTGTATCCATTTTTCAGTTAAAAATACTGTTAAACCTTTATGAAACAAATAATAAATTTGTATTCCTTCAATGCTGAAAAACCGGCCACCAGCCAGTCGTCTCACCTCCCCCACTAAAATCACCAATGCAACAGATAACTAGTGTGTCCCGGCTTTATGCAGTTATTAATGCAGTTATGAGAGAAGGAAGAGAGAGAGAGATGTTGAAATAATGACACAGACAAGCATGTACGTCAATATTATTATTTATTTATTATTTAAATTCATTTTAAATAATTAGTTCATTCTTGTTTTCTATAATTGACAGGAGATAACCCAATAAATGAAACACACAAAAGTCTTTTAGGCCTTAAAAAATTATTTATTTGTTATATTATCTGGAATAATTAAGAAAATCTGTGCAGCAGGACTATCAGTTTATTTATATAGCCTATTCAGTTTAATTTTCTATTTAGCCTATTATTGGACTACATACTTTATTTATTCAAATTAAATTGTATGTCAAGTCAAGTCTATTTATATAGTAAATATATTTATGTATATATATATTTATATATATTGGTCATTTAATTTGAATATCCCCAACTGAGCAAGCCAAAGGCAACAGTGGCAAGGAACCGAAAAACTCCATCAAGTGACCCGATGGTGTCCTAAAACTCCATCAGATGACCCGATGGAGAAAAAAAAACCTTGGGAGAACCCAGGCTCAGTCGGGGGCCAGTTCTCCTCTGGCGTTTATGAACTAGAGGCCAAATTTCTTTTTCGTTTTCTTGCAAGAAAGAGCCGAGTTGAGCGGACACAACTTTTTCTAATATTTTTGACATAAATGGAAGATTTGAGATGGGTCTGTAATTTGCTCGGTTATTTGGATCTAATTGCGGTTTCTTAATAAGAGGTTTTATAACTGCCAGCTTGAACGTTCTTGGAACATGACCTAAAGATAAAGACGAGTTAATAATATTAAGAAGAGGCTCTTCCACTATAGGTAATACTTCTTTCAATAGTTGGTACAGGATCTAATAAACATGTTGTTGTTTTAGATGAAGTGATACGTTTATTTAACTCTTTTTGTTCTAATGGTTGTAAAGCATTATTATTGTTCTTGCGGGGTGATAATTGCGGCTGAATTATAAGGCGCGAGCAAAGATTGAAAGTTTACGAATGTGATTCTGTTGCTTTCAATTTTCTCTGTGAAGAAGTTCATGAAATCATTACTGCTAAACTGTGACGGGATATTTTGTTCAGGTGTCGTCTGTTTATTTGTTAGTCTAGCCACGATGTTAAATAAAAACCTTGGATTATTATTTAGTTGTTTTCTATTTATTTGCTGAGGTACTCAGCCCTTAGAACGTGCTCAACCAATCAGAATCAAGCATTCAACAGCTCTGTAGTAGAAATACTGTATATATATATTGATACTACAGGGCTGTTGAATACATACTTACCAAAGGAAAAAAAGAAAATCTAGATAACAATACAAATAAATAAAATAATAAAATTATTTTACCAAATCTTAAATGTTTTAAATATTACACCCCTAATAAATCAAGATTACTTGTCTAGCCTTGACTTTTAAAATCAAAGCAAAATTGACTTTTTAAAACAAAGCAAATGTGTGTGTGATGACTTGATGACTTCCAGTCTTGCCGTGTCTCATGTTCTCGCTCAGACGTGGACAGGCTCTGAGTTTCTGTCAGGTTGCGGTTGGACTTCAGTCTTCGGTCGAGTCTCGAGCTCAAGTCTTCCACCAAGGACAGCAAGTATGTCATTTCCTATTCAATACAAAAATGATATGAACAACTCAAACTCATGAATGATTTTTACAGCAGAACTGAATTCTGTTTGCATCCCTGATTCTGTTATTTTCCTGTTTATTACCATGAAGCTGCTTTGAAACAATCTGTATTGTATATAGTGCTACATAAATGAAGGTGACTTGACTAGACTATAAAAAGAACATTACAATAAACACAAATGTGAAAATCTCACTACAAATAATCTCGATTTTAAGAGAAAAGATAATAATCCTCCTCTGTCTGTTACACTTCCTCACACCTGAAACTGATCGAGTGAATCTGCTGAACTTCTTCAATCTACAGTAGATCATTAGGCATCCATTTATGCTGTAACATCTGCTCTAACGTCGGGCGTTTAGTTGGATCCCGGGCTAGACACTGGCTAATCAGATCCCTGCACTCTGTACACATTTGAATAAGGAGAGAGCTGGTTAGTTGGCATCTACGAAACAGCATTTAAAAAATGATTGTAAAACACACTGTAAAAAGTGTCTAATCTTTAATCCTTTAAAAGTGAAGTATGTAGTTTCTGCAACACTAGTGGCACTGAGCAGAATAAATGACAAAATAAAGCATATTTTCAAAAAACCTTGCAAAGGCCCCTTCCGAGCATCGCCTCTTCCCCAACTTAAACATCACAAACACAGCTCTTACTGGTTCTTGTAAAGTATGTTTCAGGTCCAACATATTAGGGGCAGCTTTAGCTGTTGCAAATGTGCATTTCTGAACGGGTGCATGATGATGCTGTACGGTATTGAAGCGTTCTTTGTAGCGCGTAGCATCACAATGCTCTGTTCACTTTGACATGGTCATGACCTGTTTAATCTTTGAAAATGTCGTGAATTTTGGCTTTCACTTCTGTAACTAAAGCTGCATTTCTTTTCCCAGGGCTACAGTTTCCACACCCAAAACTCTCGCTATACGTTGAGCTATATATACAAAATATTACATACTTCACCTTTAACTGTTTCTGTATAAAGCCTTTGCTTTATGTGTGTGTTTATCAATGTTATCGATATTACTCACTCACCTTTGGATAAGTTGGAGTTCTGAAATGTGAATTTGGCTTGTGAGATTTCCGCTCTGTTACAAAATGGACGGCATGCGTTCGTCATCTTGTACAGCAACACTCCTAGAGACCAGACGTTTGCTGAGACGGCGTGGAACCGAGGTTCTGCCAAGACTTCAGGTGGGCAGTGGTCCTGTATTCCTGTAAGCAAGACATTTGCACATTGTTGAGCTTTTTTTTCTTTAAAGCATCAAATAATTAGTAAGTCACTACATTCACGCTCCTAAAATGCTCACCGATGTATATTTTGCTCTCGTAGCCGTCACTACTGAACAGCTGACCGCATCCAAAGTCTATCAGCTTCAGGCCTAAGGAGTGTTTTTTTATCAGGAAATTCTCTGCATGGATGTCATTATGGAAAACACCATGCTCGATGCAGTGTTGCACTGCCAGCACAGCCTGCTGCATGATGACCCGTGCTGCTGGTTCATACACTCGAGGATTACGAGTGATGAAGTCCAGCAAGCTCTCACAGGGATCAGGATACTCCATAACCAGAGTGAATGTTTTAGGATCTTCAAACCAGTCGTACAGTTGGATGACGAAGGGGCTAATGGGTTCTCGCCTCATCATTAGCAGCAGCGCCACTTCTGTAACGAGAGGTTCGGGATGCCCAGGCTAGAGAAAAGTAGCAGACAGAAGGTTAACTGCGTAAAAATCTGGAGAAAACATCATTTTAAAATCTTTTTAGATCCGTTCAAAAGAGCCTTTTCACTAATGCTTTCTACGGGTGTATTAACTACAGTAATCTGCACATAAACAACTAAACACATATTCAGGTTTTAGCCAACTTACAATATTCAGATAGCGATCATTGTCAACCTTACGCATCCGCTTGATGGCAACCTGCAAAAAAACAAAACATGTAAGAACCTGACATTGCACTAAGTATTAAACCATCTGTAAATTGTTGTAAATATGTTTTGATGCATGCAAGAGCAAAATGTTTGTACAATTCGGTACCTTTTTGCCATCAAATCTGCGTGTTGCATTGAACACTCTGCCAAATCCTCCGGATCCAATCATCTGTCCCATGTTATAGAGACACTCAAAGGACTCTGTAAAACAAACAGAAAAATATCAGCTTGCTAGATCCGTTGTTTTAAATATCAGCGCTGGTTGTGTCGAGAAAATAATGGGAAACGAGAAACAAGACTTTAGTGTTATTTTTCTTGATGAAAATACTGTTTAAAAAACATCCATTTCCAGGCTTCACTTGGCCGACTCTGGCACATGTGGCTCAGTTCTGATAATGGCAAAGATCATATGGGCCTCATCTTAAAATATATTAAATATAACATATTGAAATAAACATTGATTTTATTAAATGCACAGCAATGTCTAACCGACTTTTTGACAATTTTGAGGTTATTTGACAATTCAAGTCGCAAATCAGAATTGCTGTTTGATCATATGCTGTCTGAGAAGCGGCTTTCTGTGTGTGTGTTTCAGGTGTGTGTCAGACAGCGCAAGTACAATCGAGTTCATGCCTTATTGAGAATGATTTGCTAACGTTCCCATTAATTAAGAAAGCGTTATTTCTAAATGTTCCCTAAACGCAACGTATTTCACAAATATTTCTTCTTTAAAGGAACATTCTGTATTTTATCATTTTACATATGAGAATGTTACTTTAAATGTTCTCCTACGTGAACGTTCAATTAAAATATTTCTTAAAAAAAAAAAAAATCTGTCAGTGAAATTTTGCAGAGCAATAGTAAATGTGAGCGGACGTTAACGTTAAAAACGACAAAATCGAAGATTTTACACTGACCAGCCTTATTTCAGACTCACCTGTGGAGCTCTTCTTCACTGGAGAATCCTCCATGGCACCCTGAGCAGTTCGGCCATTCGTCTCTGTCTCTGTCGGCTCGACAGGAATTTGACCTGGCAGTGGAGGGTACAGAAACCCTTCGAGGCTTTCGGACCCGGACAAAGAGCACTTGCTGCTCTGTTGGCTTCGGCTATCCAAGAAACCACTCCACCGCCATTCAACGACGTACGAGCCTCGGCTGCTAAGGCTTAACCACTCTCCACAGAACCTCCTCTCTACAATGTCCTTAGAGAGGGACAAAGATGATGATGACGTGATTCCCACAGACGAATCTGTGGAAGCCGTTCTCAAGGATCCGGAGCGACCTGAGTTTGCAAAATTTCAGATGTTTAATTTCTTCTCATTATTTTCATTATCATAATGTTGGAGAAAAAATGGCGATATTTACCATTATTGGGCTTGACGCCGGAGTGATCTGGTGCAGGGGATGAAGGCTCAGGAACAGGCTTTGGCTCCAGATCTGGTGGAGGGACAAAGGGCTCCACATCATCCACAGCACAACTGAGGCAACAGCAGTGGAAATACCTCTTCGTAGCCTTCCACACCCTGTTGAGGAAACAACCAATTCCTTTCCTCTCCCTGCATTCTCTAGGTTTGTCTGAAAGGAAGAAAAACAAATGAAAACTATTAGCAACAGAAATAGAAAATAATTTGCATTATGGGAATGTTAATTTTGAATGGTCTATGAATGTTGTGAAAATGTTACATAAATGTCCAATTTTAAACAATTTGAATAATCAATGGCAGTCATCACATCAAATTTTTACTTTATTATTTTTCAAATCAGTCAGAGATGGAGACTGAGCCATAACATCTTCATTAAAGCATATTCTGACCTCTGCCAGAGCGTTTAGATGGAGTGGACGACGGACGTCCATCATCTGGCCTCTGCTGGCTGCCGCTCTGCCCCGCTTTCTTCCCGTGAGCCTGACCTGTGGACACAGAAACAGAAAACTCAGAAGACTGAGGTGTTAAATCTCCAGAAAGCTCCTGGATCTGTGTCGGGTCTGGCAGCGGATCCTCACCACGGTCATCAGAAGCGGGTCTGCAAACCTCCTGACCAGCCGTCTGAGAGAAAGCAGTTCTCCGGGGTCTGGAGCGGCCTGAGGGTGGAATATATTTCACACATCACATAGTTAGTAATGTTTTAATAATAATCCTTCATCAATGTCAGTGGTCAATTACAAATTGTTACAATTGAAATGTTGATTTCATCTGCAAGGAATCCAATGCGATATGTGATCACTTTGCTGGGGAATCACCTCGCACAATTTCCATCACATATTACCGTATTAAATCATTGTACAACATCACCATAACATACCATAAACCAAAAAACTTAAGCCCTCACCTCCTCTTCCACCTATCCGGTGAACCATGATCACTGCAAGGAAAAAAAACAATAAGTTAGCCTACAAAATACAATACAAAACAATACTCAGAAATTCTCATGTAAAACTAAAAAAAAAAAGAAAGAAAAAAAAGAATTAAAAAGTAAATAAAACTATTCTAAATCAGAAAAGAACAATAAAATAAAGGAAGCTATAATCAGAAATTATATGAAATCTTTAAAAAAGCTTAAAAACTCGATAAAGGATATATCCTCCGATGATGTCGTTGTAGAATAAAGTCTTCTTTCAGGAAACAGCTTCAAAATCTCGCAGAAAATACTCTGGAAAAGTCTGAAAATTCGCCTCGTCTCTCAATCAACAGAAAGCGATCGGAATTCGAGTCAAAATATGTAGTGAGATTTCATAACACGCGTTGCCATGGCAACTAAAATGCGCATCCATCGTATGAACGCACATTTTGCTATAAAATAATAAAAGGCTTTGCTATTTCACAGAAAAAATTTTTTTTACAGCTTTTGTATGTGCTCTCCATAGTAACTATACTTTTCTAATTCTTTCAAAACCACAGAAAAAAATAAGTTTATAAATGTTAATAATGTTGTGCCTTATTTTTCAGACTCTTCTCATTTACAAAAAACATATAGCCTATAATGTTATTGCAACGAAAAAATACACAATAGCTTTTGAAGTATCACTTCTTGTTCAGTGTGTCCATGTCCATGATGACATTGTTTGGAATGTACGCAGGTTACTTAATTTGTTTTAATGTATAGTTTAAATGACAAGTTCAATATTAATATATTGAACTGCATATAAATAATTAAAACATAGTTAATTAAATAAACGAAGAAAATATATTGAATGGACTGTAATAAAATAGCATATATTAAGTCATCGGTTTTATTTTATTTATTTATTTATTTATTTATTTTTCTAAAGAATTAGAAAACTAAATAGTTACTATTATGGAGAGCAGAAACCACACCATAATAACCATAATAATAATAATGATAAAAAACATTTTAACATTCCTGTAATCTGTGCTGTTGTAAAAACAATCTCTAATATAGTATGAAGCACACACGTCATATAATTACTATAACATTACTATAACAGAAAATCACAATTTTCTTATTTTAGATGTTCTTTCAGTTTTCACTTTAGTTAGCCTTTTTACTTTGTAAAATCCAAACGCAAGAGGGCAGAATAGCATCATATACTGCACTCATTTTTGGAAAAAATGGAAGATTAAAAAAAAATCTTAAATAGTCAATTATTTTACAGTCATACCCTTAATAACAAAATGTTGTTTTTTTGTTTTGATTTTTGTTTGTTTTTTTGTCATGCCAATAAAGCTTTCTGAATTTAATTGAAAGAAATAAACTCGATCGCCTCCTGGAGGAGAAAGGAAGAATGACGAGGCTGAGCTTTTCCTTTGCTGCACTAACAGCAGACAAAAGCCAGAGAGAAAGCAAAATGTAAGAAAAGAAATCGCATTTGAAAGGATAAATGCAAAATTCTGAAGTGAATGATCTGAGTGGTGAAGATGAAGCAAAAGCTTACAGCACCTATACTGACCAATCATTGAGTGCCGTTGAGCAAGTTGAGGAGCTCAATCAACCAATCATTGAGCGCCGTTGAGCAGGCTGCTTCCTCAACCCACCAATCAGATGGCCTCATTGACTGACCGTGTCAAATGCATAATCGGAGTGACAAGAGTAAACAATCACTGCTATAATCAGTGGACTGAGATCGGTGACAGCAAACAAGAGGTAAATTCAGTATATTCTCCAGTATATTCATATAAATGCTTTCTAACAGTTCTTTTTCTGCATGGATTTACGTGCAGTAATTACAAAGTTATTAACTGTTAAAGTTTTAAAAGCATTAACGTTAATAGGGAAAATATAATCGCGCATCTACTAACATGAATAGTAAACTGTAGTAATTATGTATAGTCTTTGTAATGTTTTACTAAAAAAGTAAATGCTTTGAAAATACCCAAACACAACCAGGGCTGGGCATTAGGATTACTATCCAAATACAGGTAACGTTAGTTACCTATGACTAGTAACGCTATAGGTCACCAGTTTGTCCTGTTGCAATTGACTACATACTGTACATTTAAATAGTTAAATAGGCCTGTTTTGTCCAGCTATCCTCTCCACTAATCTAAACTATTTTGTCTCATAGTAACTGATAAGCCATTAACAGTCAATAACATGTTAAAACACTGAAAACACAAGGCAAGCAAAAATATAGTCTAAAATGATAAAACCATTACCTTTTGAACTTTCAGCTAATCACATTAAATATCACATTAAAAGGTAAATCAGATAACATCCATAAAGATTACAGTACTTTTTTTATTATTATTTCACACCTTTTTACTTCTAAGCAATAGTAATAGCAGTACTGTTACTTGTACACATGTTTTGCATCTCCTGGTCTTCCAGTGTTTAGTCCCCTGTGCAGTTTGGAAAGAAGAAACTAATCTGAATCTGTTTCTGTTTTATAACAACAGATAAAAAGCATGGATTTGGCGGGACACAAGTGCAGTGTATGTGACAGGAGTTTCTCACTGAAGTCCAACCTGACTCGGCACATGCAGCTTCATGGTCCGAACGAGGAACATGTGTGTGAAGTGTGTGGGAAAAGCTTCTCACTGAAACAGCAGCTGAGCAGCCACCAAAAACAGCACCTGTACCCATGCATCCGTCTGTACAGGCAGGGAGAGGCCAAGCTGCAGTGGACGGATGCAGCTAAGAGTGTGGCAATGGGCCCCAGCAAAGCAGTAGACCCCAGCTGTCTGGATTCAGAAAAGGCGGAGGCTGCTGCAAAGAAATCTGGAGGGGAAATGTGGAAAGGCCAGCTAGTTGTCACATTCGGCAAATATGAAGGCCAGTCTTTCAGGTGGCTGCTTGAAAATGATGTGGGCTGGGTCATATGGCTGCTGTCTGAATATTGCCAGAAGGGTGAGAAGAACGATCTCCTAAAGTGGCAAAAGGAGCGATTGCTGCAGTTCCCGCCTGTCACCTTCCATCTTGACAAACGCTTGGAGGTAACTTTGACCCTTTAACTGAGATTAAATTATATTTATATCTTTATTTATATTTTTGTTTATTAAAAATTGAGTGCATGTGTAAATCAGTAAGGCACATGTAACGCACCTTCAAGAGTAAAATCATCAATGTTTACTCGGCACAAAAGCTTGTGCCACAGTGTTAGTGTTTGTGTTTATGTGGTACAATACAACTTTGTATGTGTTTTTCTACACTTTCTAGTGGAAGGAGCATTTATAGCACCACAAGACTAAGAAAACTTTATCTTTGTCATTAAAGTGATTGTGTAAGATCAAGCCCTCCACAAAACTGTGAAGGACAGCCGGTAAGCGCCATATTGGCCATGTTTGGCTAGATTGACTGGAGCAGTGCTAATAATGCTCTGAAAAAACACTGACTATAAACTCTTGTTGTATTGATAGGATTTTTTGCAGTGGGATTTGTAACTCCAAATGTTGTTTGGTATTATTAAATGTGTGGTTTCAATGATAACTTATAATTCTTTACAGGGAAATTATAGCTTAGAACTAATAAATTGAATTTTTACTACTAAAAAATATTTTCTATTGCATTTGATTAAAGATACTAATTCTGATCATTTGATTTAAAATGCTGGGTATTTATTGGATAACATTTGCTTAAAGTTGGAAACCTTATAATTATAATGACAGTAATGTGTTTATCTGAGTAAATGTGAATTGTTTTGTCAACTCAGATGGTAACTTGTATTTGTCATCTCTTTTTGAGGTTTTTCACCTGTTTACTGCCCAAGAAAGAATGGTTAATAAAAGACAAACAACTGATTCCATGGCTGTTTATTGAGTGAAATCCAGTTAAGATCTTCATGTGGAGGGACTGTCCTTTTCAAGTGGGGAATTGCACAAGAAATATATCACAACTTGACAACCACGGTGGTGGTGGCAGCTGAGTCTGACGGGTGCTACAGACGTATGGCCAAAGGTCTGATGGCCCGCTTTGAACGAGCTAGGGCTCCTGCACCAACTGCCATATATGCAGATAACAACTGTTGTCGGTAGGTTATAACACATCCATATACCCTGATAAAATGTGTCATTAATTTAATGTTAAAAAAAAGAAGAAAACACATGCTGATTTTATATTCTTTCAGTGACAGTGGTTCGTCCTTCCTGGAGAATCTGTTCGGGGGCTGGGTGCAGAAGGGCACTGTGGTCAGACTGGACATCCGACACTGGCTGCACCGCTGGGATGCTGTTGTCCTCAAACAGAGCCATGCCAAGTATGGGGTGTTCATGAGTGCCCTGGCAGGTGCAGTGCTGGCCTACAACAAGGACGATATGATGCTCCTAATCCAGGCAGTCAGGAAGGGCAACCAGGAGTTTCAGACGAGGACATGATAGCCTTCCTCAAACCTCACCAGATCAGGTCCTATGTCAGACGGATCACCCGTGGGGTTGAGGTAAGTGTAATATTAATCCATGTATAATCTTTATGCATAAGAAGCTCAAAACATACTTCACTAAAATTAACTAAGTTGTCACACTTCTATATTTCATTTAGGAAATACTTCCAATTATTGACACAATTTCACCTTTTAAGCGATATAACTGTATAAAATAAATGTGAATGATTGTTACAGGAGACAGCTTCAGTAATTGAGTCCATCATTACGGAGTTCAGGGGACCTGCAGGCCTTGACATTGATGGAATCTGTTCAGATCAGCACAGGCAGTGGATTCTCACTGGGCAACTGCAAGCAAGCATCTTAGTTGTATGCAGGTGGGTAAACATTTTTGAAGTAATCATTGTAAAATCATATAAACTCAAACTCACAGACACCATAATAAATTTGTCACACTGATACCAAGTGTGCTGCGTGAGGAAACTTCAGGAGACGATGAGCAGTTTAATAGTCTTTGATTGAAACAAGGCAGGGCTGCAACGGCCGATAAACAGAAATAACTTCTAAATATTCTTGAAGGAACAGAAAAGCACACGCAGCAGGTCTCGTGAGCTGGAGATGGTTGAGCAAGGAAGAACAGGTGAAGCGCTGACTTCTCACGCCTCTTCTGGACTCAAACAGGTAACCGCTCAGATCAGGAAAGTGGCAGGTATTTTTAAAATATGTTTTTATATTAACCCCCCCCCCCCCCAACCGAGGGCCGGTCTGATAAAATGTATTTATTGGAAGTTAGGAAGAAAACTTTTTTTTTTTTTTTTTTTTTTTTACATTTTCTATAACGGAGCATATATTTGCACTTAGTGCCTGTCTTAACAGCAAAAAGACGCCCGTCTTGAAACAGCTTCAGTGGCGTAGGGCGTGAAGTGCTTGAAAGCAGCTTTTGCTGCGCTGAACGCGAGTTCGAATCCGCCTTTTGCCAAACTCTCTCTTCTCCCTTTTCTCAACATGAAGTTTTATCAACTAAGTCCGGGAGGAGCACGTTGAGATAATTAACACGAGTGGACAGCAATCAGCAATCAATGATGAGAGGGTAAAAATAGACTCAGTAGTCTTACCTCGATTCATTGACAGTTTGCAGCATTTAGTAGATTCGCCGCTTCGGTCAACAACCGGTTACTCGCAGCATGTCTCCAACAAGCTCCTCTTCCGACGAAGAATTCACCACGGATGCAACTTCTCACTCCGTTGGTCCCACGGTCATCCCTTCTACGGCGGTCGGTGCACCTGAGCCCCCGGCATCTCCTCGCGGCCGCACACCGGCCCGATCAGCCCGCCGCTCAACAAGACGCCATGACCAGTCTTCGCCGCCTCCGGCAAGACTTCCATCTTCTTCCCCAGCTTCCTCCTACCGCTCGGCCGTCCCGACGATCCCACCCATCGGGAAATGGACCGCTGCTGGGTTGAGGCAAGCGCTGGGTAACTCCGATCTTCAAGTTCCAAGGAAAATAAATAAAGCGGAGCTGTATGATTTATACGTCTCCTTAAATCCAACTCGTAAAACGACCCACAGGCAGAGCAAAGTCCGCAGGGCTCGAAATTCGCCTGCCCAGTCACCACCCTCGTCTCTTCGCACAGGACATACAGCCGGGCCCAGCGGCCTCCCCACAGCCGCTCAATTCTACTCTCCTGCTGTACATAACCCTTTTCCTTTTCAGTGGCCTCCAGCTCCAGTTGCAGACACTAGCGCGAAGCTATCGCCGCTAGCATCACAGACCCAACAATGTCAACAACAGGTCTACCCAACAGGTTACAACCCTGCCTACTTCCAGTGGCCTGCAGCTCCAGTAGCTCAAGCAAGCGCGGGCCCGCCTCCGCTTGCAGCACAACCTCACACCGCTTTCTATCATCCCTCACATCCTCCAACTAAATGAAAGCGCAGCGCAAGTTCTGCCAGGAAGACTCAATTGTCACATCATTATTACTTCTCATCTATCCAATCGCGTTCTAATACTCGAAGTATAAAAGACCCTTACTTACACTTGTCTGAGTTTGCAGATGCTGACGCTTCACCTACCACCATCCTCCCCACCTCCACTAAGGCGGTCTTTGCTCCATCCTTCCCACCACCACCAGGTCAGTCCCTTCCAAAACTCCAAGGGGGGGTCGGCTACGCCCCTGCCTTCATCTTCAGGCAGGATATGCAGAATCCATACCCTCGGATCGCGAGTTACGGACGGGGCCTACGCCAAAGAACTTTATTGCATAAATGGCTTGCTGGGCTGTTAATAAAATGTTTTATCGTACAGTATCTTATCTCCCGAGTCTTTCTGGTAGAACTTTCCTTCTCATTTTACAACAGGTCATCCAATCGCGAGGGCACAGCCGTCAATCGCAGCCCCGAATTATACCCTTCCCAGTTCCATTATACAAACTAAATCACCATATTCTCTTTTCACAGCCACTCCGATGCCTGTTCCGCTCAATGCAGTTGCCATGGAACCCCCACCAGTTTCTCAATCCATCCACGCTCAGATCCTCTCAGGTATGGACATAGACCTCTCCACTCTGTTGTCTCTCCTCCCTGCAGCCGAATCAGACCGCCAAGTGGATTGCGGCGATTTTTCAGTGACCCTGAAAAACACAAACACACACTCATCTTGCGTCCTTTCATTTCCCGAATTCACGATTGCTTTTTCACGTTTCATGGAAATCATCTGTTCAGCCTTCCCCCACAGGCGGCGCGAACTGAACGATTATCAAGCAATCATTGCCGAACTCGCGCTGTCCTATGGGGGAGGGCATTTCTACACGTACCATAAACTTTTTTCTGCAAAAAGTGCCGTGCGAGTCGCACAATGGAATCAGTGCACATACTGGGGTGCACTCGACTCTGATCTTCACAGCAGGGTATTTTTAGGTTGCAAAAACATTACCTGTGCAGTTTGCAGGTCAGTGGCTCACTCAACCGCAACATGCCTACAAGTTAACACTACCTCTTCCCTTTGTGGGAATAAGTAATAATAAATCCACCAGCTATGTGCCACGTGCAGCAACCACCAGGGCAATTCAAGATTCTACGTTTGACGAAAGCAGGCAGCCCTGTAATCACTTCAATGCAGGCAAATGTCAAAGAGCGTGCTGCCGCTACATGCACATCTGCAGCTTTTGTGGCGGCGCCCATGCTCGCATTGTATGTCCAGTCTTCAAGTCTGTGAATAAAAAATCAAAAAATTATTTGGCGACTCCTGTGAATATTTCGCGCATGCAACACGAACTTGCAGATGCCGAATTTACCGATTATCTGCTGTCAGGTCTTAAAAACGGCTTTAAACCCAGCTTAAATGCCCGCTTTCTCAAAACATCATATGCAATAATCTCCAATCCGCCCTGACAGAACCTGAAGTTGTAGAAAAACTGATCAAAAAAGAAGTTGAGTCCGGCTTCATGATCGGTCCGTTTGACAATCCTCCATTCAATCCGTTTCGTGTCAGCCCCATTGGAGTGGCTACAAGGAAATTCTCGGGTAAAAAAAAAAAAAAAAAGCGCCTTATAATCGACCTGTCAGCCCCGCACAATTCTCCGTTCCCAAGCATAAACAGCCTGATCCCTCTCGATGAATTTTCGCTCAAATACCACGACATAGATCAGGCTATCGACATGATAAAAATCGCAGGTCGGGGTGCTTGGCTTGCAAAAATCGACATTACTTCTGCTTTCAAAGTAATGCCTATCCATCCAGGTTCATGGCATCTATTTGGAGTTCACTGGCTCAGGAAATATTATTTCACCGTTCGTTTAACATTCGGTTGCAAAAGCAGCCCCAAAATATTTGACATGCTATCAGAAGCCGTTTGTTGGATCCTATCGAACAACTATGCCATCCCTTACCTCATTCACTTGCTAGACGATTTTTTAATAATCTCGCTACAACCTCAATAGAGAATTCAAATGCTTTCTTTACTGGATGTCTCAGCGCTTTGTAGTAACAGTGCATCAGCAGCTCGAGTGCGCTTGCCACGCGTAACGCGCCTACATTTGAAATAATGAAATTTTGTTCGGCAGGAATAATGGTCGAACGAAAACAGTTTGATATGAATATGTGTATCGTTACACCCCTAAAATACTGTACATACTAAGTGGTCAAATACCTATAAATATCATGCATGTTCTATCCATGACAAGTATGTTTGAAATAGTTCATTTTTATTTTACATAATATGAAACAAATGAACTGCAGCATAGCCCTGTTGTATTAATTAGTCTACTGTTAGATGTTGTAACTGCCTACACACACTGGTGATTAGTACATCACATATTTGCAGTTGAGGAAGAGCAGTCGAGCATGACAGGTCTGCTGCCAACTTTGTAAAAAGGTACGAGTCTAGGTGGGGTTACACCCTGTTCAGCAGATGCTTGAGAGCTGACACACCTGAGACCAGAGCAGCACAGAAGACAAAGTTTTCCTGGATGAGGTACTCTCAGGCAGCCCAGGTGACTGAGGATAGTCGTCTGTTGTACCTCGCTATTATTAAGATGCTGTAGTGACGGTTTTTTTTTCTTCCACGCAACAGACAAGGAGATTTTGAGGTATCTTTCACGCAGAAGTTCTTTATTGCGTCGCTGTAGCCTTCTCAAAGATAGTCTGACTTAAAAGAACTTTACACTCTAATTTATACATTTCAAAGAGGGCGGGATTACATAAAGGTGGAGACACTGAAACAAAGCAAATGTAAATGATTCAGCTAGTTACCCGAGTTCATCAGCACACCAGTTATTGGGAGCCTTGAGATGCTCATCCAATCAGTCTGACTAGAGTGGTTAAACCTTTACCATTATCATAGAGACAAAAGCAGAGCTGTATCTTGAACTAAATGGCCAGGAAGTGCATAAAGACAAAAGCTAATGTGTGACACCTGGAATGCTTGGCTTAATCTTCTTGGCCTCAAAAATGGTAAACACTGTATCCATTTTTCAGTTAAAAATACTGTTAAACCTTTATGAAACATATAATAAATTTGTATTCCTTCAATGCTGAAAAACCGGCCACCAGCCAGTCGTCTCACCTCCCCCACTAAAATCACCAATGCAACAGATAACTAGTGTGTCCCGGCTTTATGCAGTTATTAATGCAGTTATGAGAGAGAGAGAGAGAGAGAGAGAGGAAGAGATGTTGAAATAATGACACAGACAAGCATGTACGTCAATATTATTATTTATTTATTAATTAAATTCCTTTTAAATAATTCGTTCATTCTTGTTTTCTATAATTGACAGGAGATAACCAATAAATTAAACACACAAAAGTCTTTTAGGCCTTAAATATTATTTATTTGTTATATTATCTGGAATAATTAAGAAAATCTGTGCAGCAGGACTATCAGTTTATTTATATAGCCTATTCAGTTTAATTTTCTATTTAGCCTATTATTGGACTACATACTTTATTTATTCAAATTAAACTGTATGTCAAGTCAAGTCTATTTATATAGCTATTTATATAGCAAATATATTTATGTATATATATACACTCACCGGCCACTTTATTAGGTACCCCATGCTAGTAATGGGTTGGACCCCCTTTTGCCTTCAGAACTGCCTCAATTCTTCGTGGCATAGATTCAACAAGGTGCTGGAAGCATTCCTCAGGGAGTTTGGTCCATATTGACATGATGGCATCACACAGTTGCCGCAGATTTGTCGGCTGCACATCCATGATGCGAATCTCCCGTTCCACCACATCCCAAAGATGCTCTATTGGATTGAGATCTGGTGACTGTGGAGGCCATTTGAGTACAGCGAACTCATTGTCATGTTCAAGAAACCAGTCTGAGATGATTCCAGCTTTATGACATGGCGCATTATCCTGCTGAAAGTAGCCATCAGAAGTTGGGTACATTGTGGTCATAAAGGGATGGACATGGTCAGCAACAATACTCAGGTAGGCTGTGGCGTTGCAACGATGCTCAATTGGTACCAAGGGGCCCAAAGAGTGCCAAGAAAATATTCCCCACACCATGACACCACCACCACCAGCCTGAACCGTTGATACAAGGCAGGATGGATCCATGCTTTCATGTTGTAGACGCCAAATTCTGACCCTACCATCCGAATGTCACAGCAGAAATCGAGACTCATCACACCAGGCAACGTTTTTCCAATCTTCTATTGTTCAATTTCGATGAGCTTGTGCAAATTGTAGCCTCAGTTTCCTGTTCTTAGCTGAAAGGAGTGGCACCCGGTGTGGTCTTCTGCTGCTGTAGCCCATCTGCCTCAAAGTTCGACGTACTGTGCGTTCAGAGATGCTCTTCTGCCCACCTTGGTTGTAACGGGTGGTTATTTGAGTCACTGTTGCCCTTCTATCAGCTCGAACCAGTCTGGCCATTCTCCTCTGACCTCTGGCGGCAACAAGGCATTTCCGCCCACAGAACTGCCGCTCACTGGATGTTTTTTCTTTTTCGGACCATTCTCTGTAAACCCTAGAGATGGTTGTGCGTGAAAATCCCAGTAGATTAGCAGTTTCTGAAATACTCAGACCGGCCCTTCTGGCACCAACAATCATGCCACGTTCAAAGTCACTCAAATCACCTTTCTTCCCCATACTGATGCTCGGTTTGAACTGCAGGAGATTGTCTTGACCATGTCTACATGCCTAAATGCACTGAGTTGCCGCCATGTGATTGGCTGCTTAGAAATTAAGTGTTAACGAGCAGTTGGACAGGTGTACCTAATAAAGTGGCCGGTGAGTGTATATATATATATATATATATTGGTCATTTAATTTGAATATCCCCAACTGAGCAAGCCAAAGGCAACAGTGGCAAGGAACCGAAAAACTCCATCAAGTGACCCGATGGTGTCCTAAAACTCCATCAGATGACCCGATGGAGAAAAAAAAACCTTGGAGAACCCAGGCTCAGTCGGGGGCCAGTTCTCCTCTGGCGTTTATGAACTAGAGGCCAAATTTCTTTTTCGTTTTCTTGCAAGAAAGAGCCGAGTTGAGCGGACACAACTTTTTCTAATGTTTTTGACATAAATGGAAGATTTGAGATGGGTCTGTAATTTGCTCGGTTATTTGGATCTAATTGCGGTTTCTTAATAAGAGGTTTTATAACTGCCAGCTTGAACGTTCTTGGAACATGACCTAAAGATAAAGACGAGTTAATAATATTAAGAAGAGGCTCTTCCACTATAGGTAATACTTCTTTCAATAGTTGGTACAGGATCTAATAAACATGTTGTTGTTTTAGATGAAGTGATACGTTTATTTAACTCTTTTTGTTCTAATGGTTGTAAAGCATTATTATTGTTCTTGCGGGGTGATAATTGCGGCTGAATTATAAGGCGCGAGCAAAGATTGAAAGTTTACGAATGTGATTCTGTTGCTTTCAATTTTCTCTGTGAAGAAGTTCATGAAATCATTACTGCTAAACTGTAGCGGGATATTTTGTTCAGGTGTCGTCTGTTTATTTGTTAGTCTAGCCACGGTGTTAAATAAAAACCTTGGATTATTATTTAGTTGTTTTCTATTTATTTGCTGAGGTACTCAGCCCTTAGAACGTTCTCAACCAATCAGAATCAAGCATTCAACAGCCCTGTAGTAGAAATACTGTATATATATATTATGATACTACAGGGCTGTTGAATACATACTAACCAAAGGAAAAAAAAGGAAATCTAAATAACAATACAAAAAATATATATATATATTTTACAAAATCTTAAATGTTTTAAATATTACACCCCTAATAAATCAAGATTACTTGTGTAGCCTTGACTTTTAAAATCAAAACAAAATTGACTTTTTAAAACAAAGCAAATGTGTGTGTGATGACTTGATGACTTCCAGTCTTGCCGTGTCTCGTGTTCTCGCTCAGACGTGGACAGGCTCTGAGTTTCTGTCAGGTTGCGGTTGGACTTCAGTCTTCGGTCGAGTCTCGAGCTCAAGTCTTCCACCAAGGACAGCAAGTATGTCATTTCCTATTCAATACAAAAATGATATGAACAACTCAAACTCATGAATGATTTTTACAGCAGAACTGAATTCTGTTTGCATCCCTGATTCTGTTATTTTCCTGTTTATTACCATGAAGCTGCTTTGAAACAATCTGTATTGTATATAGTGCTACATAAATGAAGGTGACTTGACTAGACTATAACAAGAACATTACAATAAACACAAATGTGAAAATCTCACTACAAATAATCTCGATTTTAAGAGAAAAGATAATAATCCTCCTCTGTCTGTTACACTTCCTCACACCTGAAACTGATCGAGTGAATCTGCTGAACTTCTTCAATCTACAGTAGATCATTAGGCATCCATTTATGCTGTAACATCTGCTCTAACGTCGGGCGTTTAGTTGGATCCCGGGCTAGACACTGGCTAATCAGATCCCTGCACTCTGTACACATTTGAATAAGGAGAGAGCTGGTTAGTTGGCATCTACGAAACAGCATTTAAAAAATGATTAACACACTGTAAAAAGTGTCTAATCTTTAATCCTTTAAAAGTGAAGTATGTAGTTTCTGCAACACTAGTGGCACTGAGCAGAATAAATGACAAAATAAAGCATATTTTCAAAAAACCTTGCAAAGGCCCCTTCCGAGCATCGCCTCTTCCCCAACTTAAACATCACAAACACAGCTCTTACTGGTTCTTGTAAAGTATGTTTCAGGTCCAACATATTAGGGGCAGCTTTAGCTGTTGCAAATGTGCATTTCTGAACGGGTGCATGATAATGCTGTACGGTATTGAAGCGTTCTTTGTAGCGCGTAGCATCACAATGCTCTGTTCACTTTGACATGGTCATGACCTGTTTAATCTTTGAAAATGTCGTGAATTTTGGCTTTCACTTCTGTAACTAAAGCTGCATTTCTTTTCCCAGGGCTACAGTTTCCACACCCAAACTCTCGCTATACGTTGAGCTGTATATACAAAATATTACATACTTCACCTTTAACTGTTTCTGGTCAAAGCCTTTGCTTTATGTGTGTGTTTATCAATGTTATCGATATTACTCACTCACCTTTGGATAAGTTGGAGTTCTGAAATGTGAATTTGGCTTGTGAGATTTCCGCTCTGTTACAAAATGGACGGCATGCGTTCGTCATCTTGTACAGCAACACTCCTAGAGACCAGACGTTTGCTGGGACGGCGTGGAACCGAGGTTCTGCCAAGACTTCAGGTGGGCAGTGGTCCTGTATTCCTGTAAGCAAGACATTTGCACATTGTTGAGCTTTTTTTTCTTTAAAGCATCAAATAATTAGTAAGTCACTACATTCACGCTCCTAAAATGCTCACCGATGTATATTTTGCTCTCGTAGCCGTCACTACTGAACAGCTGACCGCATCCAAAGTCTATCAGCTTCAGGCCTAAGGAGTGTTTCTTTATCAGGAAATTCTCTGCATGGATGTCATTATGGAAAACACCATGCTCGATGCAGTGTTGCACTGCCAGCACAGCCTGCTGCATGATGACCCGTGCTGCTGGTTCATACACTCGAGGATTACGAGTGATGAAGTCCAGCAAGCTCTCACAGGGATCAGGATACTCCATAACCAGAGTGAATGTTTTAGGATCTTCAAACCAGTCGTACAGTTGGATGACGAAGGGGCTAATGGGTTCTCGCCTCATCATTAGCAGCAGCGCCACTTCTGTAACGAGAGGTTCGGGATGCCCAGGCTAGAGAAAAGTAGCAGACAGAAGGTTAACTGCGTAAAAATCTGGAGAAAACATCATTTTAAAATCTTTTTAGATACGTTCAAAAGAGCCTTTTCACTAATGCTTTCTACTACGGGTGTATTAACTACAGTAATCTGCACATAAACAACTAAACACATATTCAGGTTTTAGCCAACTTACAATAT